CTTTGTGGACGGCAAACCAACTCCCGACAACCCACACCCAGAACTCTTTGAATACAATAACATCAAAGAAAGTAAAAAGGTTAAAAATATTATTAATTGACCTCATTACACTTTTATATACCACAGATGCAAATTATGAAGAAAAATAAAACTTACACAGGCTCTGCTATTAATACGTACACAACCATTGCTATTTATACACTGCCACAATAAAGATAAATTTCGTTTGTAGATTCGCCCTTATACCTCAATTCTCAAAAGAGAACAGGCATTACTTTAACATGATGCTGGTATCTGTGGAGACACTAAGGATGATTTTACACCAGTAATACATGTAGTAAGTTGTTTTGACTTTCAATGTTCCTTATTTTAACCTTGCTTACACTTTACAGGCTACAATGAAGTCATGGGCACAAAAGGTCTGGGCTACATGAACGAGAATGGTGAGAGATTTGCAGACCTATGCTCACTAAACCAGCTGGTAATAGGAGGAAGCATCTTCCCTCATAAAAGAATTCACAAGGCCACATGGAGATCCCCTGACCATGTAACAGAGAACCAGATTGATCATATCTGCATTAACAAAAAATTTAGAAGAGCATGGAAAGATGTCAGAGTGATGAGAGGAGCAGACATTTCATCAGACCACCATCTGCTGATGACGGCATTAAGGCTACGTCTCAAGAAGTTCAACAACATAACAAACAGGAGGACAAGTTACAACGTGAGTGCCCTCAAAACAAAGGAAGGAAAGACAGCATTCCAACTCAGCTTGTCAAATAGATTCCAGCTACTACAAGACCAGCCTGAAAACAACGATACCAACATTGAGACCCAATGGCAGCACATCAAGGAAATGTGGCAAGGCACATGCGAGGAAGTCCTAGGCAGAAGAAAAACTCAGCACAAGGAGTGGATCTCTGGTGATACCATGAGGAAAGTGGAGGAGAGGAAGGAAAAGAAGGCAATGCTGAATACAAGCAGGACAAGATCCGCAAAGACAAAAGCTCAAGAGGACTACACAGCCACAGACAAAGAAGTTAAGAAAAGCATCAGGAAAGATAAAAGAGATTACATCGACAATCTGGTCAAACAATCTGAAGAAGCGGCGGGACAAGGAAATTTGAAAGAACTAACTGTATATGATAACAAATAACAAAAGCTTGCCAACAAGTTCCAGCAAACAGACAAGCCAGTGAAGGACAAAAACGGGAAAACTCTTACAACAACAGAAGAACAATTAAAGAGATGGGTAGAACACTTCAGAGAACTATTAAATAGATCATCACCAGAAACACCTCCGGACATTCAACCAGCCAATACAGACCTCCCTATTAACTGTGATAATCCAACAAAGACAGAGATCAGGAGAGCAATTCATAAACTTAAAAATGGAAAAGCAGCAGGGCCTGATGAGATACCAGCAGAAGCGATCAAAGCTGATACAGAGACAGCCATTAACATCCTATACAACCTTTTCAACACGATCTGGGAAGAAGAGAACATCACAGAAGAATTGAAAGAAGGCATCCTTATTAAGCTGTCAAAGAAGGGAGACTTGAGAGATTGCAGTAATTACAGGGGGGGGGGTCATGCTCCTATCAGTGCCTGGCAAGGTCCTCAACAGAATACTTCTCGAGAGAATGAAAGAGGCAGAGGACCCAAAGCTCCGTGACCAACAGGCTGGTTTTAGAGCCAACAGATCATGTACTGGCCAGATAGCCAGTCTACGCATCATTATAGAACAATCACTGGAGTGGAAGTCCCCCCTATATATCAACTTCATCGACTACGAAAAAGCATTTGACAGCGTAGACCGAGAGACATTGTGGAAGATACTGAGGCACTATGGAGTACCAGAGAAGCTAGTCTCCCTGATTAGAAACACCTACCAAGGCATGATAGGCAGAGTTACCCATGCTGGCCAGATGTCTGAGAGTTTCGAGGTCAAGACAGGAGTCCGACAAGGTTGCTTGCTGTCACCATTTCTTTTTCTCTTGGTCATTGATTGGATCATGAGGACAACCACAGCAGGCAGGAACAATGGCATACAGTGGACACTCCTAACGCAACTTGACGACCTTGATTTTGCAGATGACCTGGCTCTCCTTTAACACAACCAAAACCAGATGCAGGATAAAACAACCAAGCTTGCAACAACATCGGCAGGAACGGGCCTCAAATTTAACTTGAGGAAGACAGAATTCAATTTGATGAAAATAAACACCACTGTCCAAACACCAGTCACAGTTGGTGGTGAGGCCATCAAAGAAGTTGAATCCTTCATCTACCTGGGGAGTGTGGTGGACAGACACGGTGGCACAGACTGCGACATCAAGTCAAGAATTGGCAAGGCTAGGACTGCATTCACCATTTCAAAGAACATCTAGGCCTCAAAGAGCATACGTACTACCACCAAACTGCGGATCCTCAACTCCAATGTAAAGTCTGTCCTACTGTATGGTGCAGAGACGTGGAGGATGACTTAAGCTACCCTACAGAAGATCCAGACATTTTACAACACCTGTCTCAGGCGCATCTTCAACATCCGGTGGCCTGATAGGATCTCAAATGAAGAACTATGGATGAGAGCAGGACAGGAACCAATGGAGGTACAAATAAGAACGAGGATGTGGCGCTGGATTGGACACACATTAAAGAAGTCACCATCCAGCATCACACGCAAGGCCCTGACACAGGGCAAAAGAAAACGAGGACGACCTAGAAACACCTGGAGGCTTGACTCGGAGTCGGAGCTAAGGACACAGAATATGACCTGGCACGATGCAGCCAGAGCAGCCCAAAATCGTGTTCGTTGGAGGACGGTCGTTGATGGCCTATGTTCCTCACGGAACGACAGGCCTAAGTAAGTTACACTTTATCATATCAAATCTATAATTATAAAAATAATATTTATTCAGTACTGTCATGTATTGTAGACCCTACATGTGTACTGGTGTAATGTTTATTTTAATTGTTGCTTCTTTTCTTGTCTCAGGTTGATGCTGAATACATAAATCCCCAGGAATTAAATGGCTGTTGGCCTGTTGCAAGTGAATGTGTGATTTCTGACATGGAGACGTCTATCTCCCATCCATGGCCAGGTGCATAAAAATGTTATTTTATGTCTTATATTGATATTAATGAATTCACAACCTCAGTTAATTTCAAAATTACGAATGGTTATTATGAAACAGATTTTTTTTTTGTATTTACATTCTTAAAGTATTCTTAATTTTGGTGTTTGTTTTATATAGAAAATATTGCAAGAGATCATGACTTTGGAGAGCATACTCGTATCACACACAGTAACACAGCTGCATCAACTCAGACAGATTTCCGCATGACTGATATAGACAATTTGCAGCAAAAAGCAAAACAGCTTGATGATCCAGATACACTACTGAGAGATTTGTTTATTGCAAAGGTGACAAAGAACGATTATAGTGTACAGCAATACACGGGTATACCGGCCATCAAACATGATTCTTGATGACGTACATTTGGTAAATATCATGTCATGAGTGATGACTTTTACAGAAATACATGTATACAAATTGAAATATGTCTCTTCTGTAATTATTCAGTCAACTGTTAAAAAATATTTGCAAATGTGTTTATTGTTGTTGAAGCCAACTAGGAGTGCATCAAAATAATGCCATGGACTATAAATCTCATTTAACAGATATTCTGAACAAATCATCACCAGAATTAAAGTATTGGGGTGGACAAAACAGCTCAACACCAAAAGCCTATTAAACCGAACCTTACACTTGGAAGACTGGACCAAAGAGAAATCTCTCTTGCTATCAAGAATTCCTCCTGACTCTCATCCGACTGCGTATGGCCCTGACAACTTTTGTACTGGCATATTTGTTTGCTGTTTCTTCTTCAAGAGTTTCCCAGATCTTCACAACGTGGATAAACTACATGGCAATCATTTTTCCCCTCTTATTAAATGGCCATCTCAGGAAGTAATCAAGAAATTTAGACCCAGATCATCTAAACTCCCAATTTCCAAATGTGACCAGCATCATCGATTGCACCGAGTTTTTTTATCATGAGACCTCGGAACCCTACAGCACAATCTCAAACATTTAGTACATACATGTACAAACAGCACAATACCTTTAAAGTTCTTGTTTCTATATCTCCATCAGGTGCAATAACTTTTGTTTCAAACTTATAGGGTGGTAATGTTTCTGACAGGCACATTACAAAAGAATGTGGATTTTCTTGATATTGTGCGTCCAGGAGATGAAATAATGGCCAACCGGGGATTTGTCATCAGAGACTTTCTTCTTAAGAAGAGAACAAAGCTGATCCTTCCTCCATTTACTTAAGGAAATGTGCATGGGGTAAGGGCAAGCATTTGTCTGTCTGCTTCAGACATTATCAAGACTAAGAATATTGCTCACTTTAGGATTCATGTAGAGAGAGCTATTGGTAGATTGAAAACTTTTCAAATTTTGTTAAACACCATGCCACTGAATCTAAATCCTGTAGCCAATCAAATTCTTACTGTATGTGCATTTATGTGCAATCTTCAAAAACCACTTGTAAAGAAGTAATTATTATGGGGGAGAAAATGTTTCAGATTTGTTCAATGTTTATTTTAAAAAATCTCAAATAATTGTATAGAAACAACTAGACATACAATGTATATTATATAAATGAGACGTACTGCATTAAAAAATTATTGACTGAAAGTTAAGTATTCTTTATCTTCTTTTTAAATGACATATAATTTTTAATACCCGGTATACATGTATACTGCATGTATTATAAGTGCTACTAAGTTTCAAACATGAACAGTCCTGAAGTGAAAGTAGCAGTAAAAAGTTTATTTAATATTAAATTAAAGCTACTTTTTATGAACATGCATAATGATTTAATACTCAACACTATAATAAAATTTATTGCCAATGCCCTTATATGTCTGAATTTCTGTGTGTATTCCAAAACAAGCACGCTATATGTCTGGATATTGTCATTGCAGTTGTGCCTTTCACAAAAACTGGACAATGAGAAAATGAAAGCAACACAATGCTTACATGCTCCATTATCTCTGTACTAGTAAAAAAAGAAGAAATTAGAAAATTTGTATATAATGTTTAAAAATTATTATGGTCTTCAAAATTTATCATCCTCAAAACTCCCTTAAAGTTACATGTATTCGAAAATCAAGTTTTTCAATCAATAGCTTTAAAATGAAAACTTTAGGAATACGTACGCAACACAGGTGCATCCACCTGACACAATTTCTCCAGACTGCGTCCTTATCAGAATCCATGATTCATATGGCTGAGCAGTTTGTCTGGTCTCCGGGACACATTAGCACTTAATATACATTTTGCCAGGGATCAAATCAGATGATGCCTGTATATCATCAATATGTCCTGCCATATGAAGACGATAACCATTATCCTGCTTGTAATTTGATAAACGTGCAGAATTCCACCCACACTTCTGTGTAAGGTAAACCAAGACATCAAAAGATTCTACGTCTGGTATCTGTGACAAATCTTTGTTCCTGTATAAAAAAAAATCATTAAAAAACTATTTCAATGCCCAATTCTAGTTTAAATACTTTCATTTAATTATTATAATTATCATACCTGGCTGCAATATTAAAATTCATTTATTTTTCTTTATGCTGCCTATATGCTTCTCTAACTTTAAGTTGTGCTTATGAAATTATTAGTATGTGCTTGTTTTGTAATGATTTAACTGAACTGTGGATATTGATAAGGGTAGCTTAATATTGATTATATATATACCACTCTTCAATCTTGTTCATTGGTTCCAAAGTCACTCTTTCTGCTCCAACAGTCACAGTCCTTCGATTTCTCTCAAAATCGACATACTCGCTTTCGGTATTATGCAAGGTTATAATCTGATATTAATATAAACAAACATTTTATCTATTTTTTTTTAAACATATTTATGATAAATATATATTGTTTTCAGTTTTGATTTTGTCATATCTGAAAGATACCTCCAACCGAAGTTCGTTAGCTAATTCACACAGGCGAACAAGTTCAAGTTTCCTCCGCAAACTACATTGTATGCCTCTTTCTTGAAGATATCTCTTTAAATCTGTGACTTGTCAGCAAAAGAAATCAACGTCCTCGTCCATTTGTCAACGTAGTTTATGATTATTGTACAGAAAAATGACTGAAAAGCTATCAATTTAATTTGTTTCGATGGTAAACAATGTAAACCGGAAGTACCCTTGTGGAACATTTTTGATGCGGCGTGACTAAAAGTGGAATAAAAACGGTGTTCCGGCATAACTCGAAATAGTATTAACATTTAGCGAGTTAGTGTCACTTCATTGATATTGATATAATAATAGTATTTGCCGACTCTTCATAGTGTAGGGAAACGTCTTCTATTTACATAAAAGTTATGTATTTTTGCATCTTCTTCAGTTTAGAAGACGGTTGCAGCTTTAAATATTTTAATTCTTTTTGAAAAGTGTCAATGTTCGAAAACAACACATCAGGAAAATATAAATTGTACGTCAAAAGAAGATGTTTCTCATAGTAAATCTAATCTCTCCGGGTTTATAAACAACAAAGTTCATAATTAACAGTTTATTGCCTGTCGCTCTAGTATTAATTATAATTCATTACACAATATTTGCAACCTTATAACTTCAATATACAAAATCAATGTGTCAATTAAAATTTTAATTTGTCCATTCATTGTGATTTAATTCAAACATCTTTAATACCGGTGTTATCTTTGATATTAAACTTGATCATTAAACAAGACAAATTCATATGAATGACATTATTAAAATGAGATAAATTTAATAATGAAAGCAATAATGACATCAGCCGCTGTCTATATTAAGTTAAATTCATTTAAATGTCCTTTTAAATATATTTTTAAAATCTTTTTTTCTTTCCAGGAGCTGCTCAAAGCCGACAATACATAATAAGGCAATTCATCTTTAATAAACTTATGATAATTAACTGTCTATTATTTTTTCCCTCTGGACCAGATGACCCTCTACATGTACGCATCTACAATAACCTAATTTTTCTGTCTCTATAAAGATACTTTACAGACCTGAAATCTGAAAAAATATTATCAATTTCCCGTTCTTTAACATGTAAAATGACAAACATAAACTTTTTTGTGATTTTTTTCTCTCCCCAAATTGAGCCTTCAGTTGTCTATTAAATCCAAACTTCATATGCCATTCAGGCCATTTTGCTTGGCGAATAAGATCGCATTTTAGATCAAAAGGCATTATCTTTATCTAAGCGAAGCGGGTTTATTTATTAATTCATTTGTTTATGGTCTTTCATAGATGTGCCAAACTATATGGTTCAATACAGCACAATGGATTTAAATACATTCTATATATTTAAGAACAGCCAACTGAGCTATTTAATTACAAAGACAGTAACCCGAATATTTAAACCCGGTGAAGGTTACTTTGGACACATTGAACCTGAGGGGAAGAAGAGCTCGTCGTATATGGAACAATTAAAAAATTAATCCATCGTTTTGAGGTAAAAGGATGACTTTGTAAGGTAATTCAAATAAGGTATATTATTCATGTATTATTCATGTATTATATGATAACTAAATCTCTAAATCTGCAAAAAAAAACTATTTTCGGTTTAAGTTCTGGTAAGTTGACCTTCCTTAATCTTACACCATTAAAGGGATGGAAATGTTTTTATTCATATTTTATGTACATGTATATCAGGCCTCATATACATGTATCATGGCAATTTTATATTTGGTTAAGACACTGGTGTTTGTGGACAAAACACAGCCACATCCACATCCCACCCCACCCTCGCACCTCTGTACAGGATTTCCCATTGCAAAACGTGCACACTACCGTATTTTCATATGGGAGGCAGAGAGTATTATTTAATGAGCTCATTGCTCACAGTACATCTAGTTTGTTATTTAAAAAAAATTCACAGCGTCAAGGACCAAGATACATTCATTTTTGATATCTTCAAGTGATTTCAAAAACATGAAAGAAAAAAAAATTACATTAGATTAGTTCAGGAATCATTCATTTTTTAGTATATTTGTAAAAATTTTTGTGTCATGAAAAAATGATGAACACTGAATAATAAGAGAACTACCAGAATAAGGATAATACAATTGAGACTTGATATCTTAGAAGTGTCTAAGATTATGCTATTTTTACAGAAGAGTATTAAAAACGAATACTGTATGCTGGGAAATTTTTGCCACGATTTTGTTTTCGCCCTTTCGCCTTACCATCATTGGGCCATTTAAAACAGTGCCAGTAAAGAATACAGTATATTTTTTTTTAAAGTCTGAGTGAATTTGAAAGGGGACAAAGTTGTTTTCAAGTGTAAAAGGGCAAAACTAGCACGGGGGAAATAAACCTGCATACAGTACGTGTATAGTTTTGGAAAAGCTGACGTTTGTGTTGCTTTTAGATTTTTTTACAGCGTTTCAAACATATAGATTTATATATTTGCCGTATTTGTCTAGTAAGCCAACTATGAAACTGATTAGAATACCATTTTCGTGTGTACTCACTCGTAGAAATTCACAAGAAACGTGCAATAACGTGACGCCTCAATGAGGCGACAGAGACTTTAGTAAATAAATATAAATATACATACAGGACAGTAAGAAATCTAACTATTGAATATATTTCCGGAGCTTTTAGACTTGTAAAATGTAAATATGATTTCTAAATAATCATTTTATACAATGACATGAATATAGGAAATTATTTTTCACTTTTTTATTTTAATGGCAACGGGTAAAATTGTTTGGATTTTTTCTATTTGTTTATAACAAGTTTCAATATGTTTACAAGAGAAATGGAAATATATGTGGATTCCTGTCCCCATAACATCACAGAGGTTTCAGAGTCCTCCTCCAGGCTGGGGTGTGGTCAGGACAAGTACGGGAACGATCAATATCTCTGTATCCCTAACATACATAAAATAGGACTTGTAGAACTTTGTTACAATGGAACCATGGGATTAATAAAAAGAGGTGAGTAACAAGAAATTTACCTTAAAACACTTATTTTTATAGTTTAAGTTTCAAACGAAAATTGAAGCATCTTAGAAAGTATTCTTTGACATACATGTATATATATTTTAATTCTAACACGTATGGATAAGTATATACTTGAATAGGCAACTGTTTGGAAACCGATGGAGAAAATCTTTACTGGAACAACTGCCTTGGATTTTTATCAGGTTGTCCTGAAAATGAATACTGGTATCGAAGCAATAGAATATACCAATGTAAGATCCTTGAACTATATCATAATTAACATAAGATGTTCAAATCAAAATCGCCATACTATTGTTGTATTGAATCTTATTTATCAAAGAATTTTATTAAATTATTCATTAACATTTAGATCCTGCGTGTCAAAGCATCAATGCACAGCACAATTGCTATCTTGCTGAATCATCATGTCCTAATATGTAAGTAAATAAGAATGTAGCATTTTAAATTATTATACTTACATGTTATAAATACTAAAATCTGATTGGTTTAGACGCAGTTAACAATCAGTTCTATTACCCTTAGCCTTAGCAATACACGTGACAACGGGTAACACAAAGGTAATGTCACATGCGTGGAAATTATGCGCGTATGGTACACCGTAGAATTCTAAAAGCGTCAATTGCGCGTTTGAAACAACCGGAATAAACCGGAATAACGAAACTTTTTAGATGAAAAAGTACTCTTAGGGTATTAAACAAACAATAAAGAGGTCAGTAAATCTTTTTCGAAGTAGCGGGGAGTTTGAAAGCTTTTTAAACGTGAACGTAAAGACAATCGACGTTTTTTTTGCTGACATCCTAAATTGCTGACGCGTCGGTTGACAATGGTTTTCCTTGGGGTGTCAATTTCAACTGTTACGCTCCAAAACAGGCACCATTTAAATATTGTAGATTTTTGATTAACCTACGTTTAAATCTTGTCTTGAAAAACTTAATAGTATGGTATTTCTATATTACACCATAGTTAACTTTCATTAATACCGTGGTTCTCTACAAAGAAGACTTAACTTGAAAGAAAATAGTCTCAGAGCAGTCCTAAGAAGATTGCTATCAGGATATTCCTAGCTGTTCCCGTACTAGAAAGCGTTCTCAGCGATTTAAGAGAGTTCATTTTTCACCATTTCTTCATTTTATCCACTTGAAATAAGGTGTGGTACTTTGAAAAAGTTTTGAATTCCCTTAATCAAGGAATGTTTAATGTGTAGTAAGTCTGGTTGAAATTGGCCCAGTCGTAGATCTGAAAAAGTATAAATTGTCAAAAATTTTACAGAAGGAAAAACGAAGGGAACAGATGGACTAAATGTGATCAAAAATTAAAGCTCATTGGAGCTTTGATTTAGGTAACTTAAGGGGGTCGACTATAGTTTCCAATGCGCATTATTTCGCGCATCATAGTAAAATAAAGCGTATTTAGTGTTTTAATGCAAGTTTTTTCGCTTAATTATTAAAATTAAACAAAATTAAGAAATTATAGGTATAAAAATGTAATTTCAATTTGATAAAATTGACCGATTTTGCAATTGAAAGGTAGGTTGACATCGCAGCAGTGTCTTTTGACGTTATGATAATCTGAAGCTCTTAAAGAAAGGGGTAATAAAAATATTATTACAGAAAAAGTAGTAAACATACGCTCTTGAAATTTAAAACATAGAAATTTTTAGAATATCTCCAATATTTTTATTATATTTTCTTATGAATCTATTGTTTACGTCATATTTTGTAGTACCCTATAAAAACAGTAAAAAAATTGGTAATTTTTTTTGCATTTTGAGATGCCCCCTCTCTTAACAAGACCGTAGAATTTTGTGTTTCTTGCATATATTGTATCATATAGTATTACTCATAAAATATTATAGTTTGAACAAAATATCTATTGTAGTATTTCTATAATTTGCTTTAAAGTGCTCAAAATTGGCATTTTCCTATATAATCCTATAGTAAATCTACCTTATTTTGAGACGGTCCCTCAAAAATACTGGGACGGTAGATTTTTCCCAAACTTTGCATGTATACTGAACTTAATGTAAGGTATATATAGTATGAAAATGAAGACTTTCGCTATTGTAGTTTTCACACAATAAAACTATAGTCGGCCCCCTTAAAATGTATTAGAGTAAAAAACATAATATATTTGAAAAGGGAAGACAGAGAATTGGGCATGGCGATCCCAATATGTTCCCTTTGTGTACTTGCAGAGAGAATGATAATTTGGATAGATAATTTTTCGCTTTAAAAAAAAAAGTCCTAGAACTGTTACATTGCCATTTTTATACAATTGTGTATTTATATTTATTACATGCTTAGTAATAAATACAGGTTTTTTGCATATGCGATATGGCTGACGTCACAATAGCCGTATCAGCCCTACAGGGCCGATATGGATTTGAGGGGCTGATATAGGTTATCAGCCCTGCAAATCCATATCACCCCTGCAGGGCTGATACGGATCAATATCAAACCCCTAGTAAATTAAACATTAAAAAAGGTACTTGTGATCATACACATACTTTGGAGGTTACATAATTCTCTTAATTTTAAATTTTTGAATGTAATGATAATCTAAGTGATAAATGATAGATTATTTTAACATTATGGATTGGGGACATTTGAATAGAAGTAGATGAAGAAACAAACCGAAACTGTATGAGACAATTGACTTTGTGCATTTTAAGGAGTCTGAGCATGATTACTTACTTATTTTCTTCTCTAATTAATGTGTTCTGTATTTTATTACTAAGCATGTAATAAATATAATAAAATATACCCTTTTCCACATCACATCCTGTATCTGCCCTCGACCAATATCAGCCCTCTGGCTGATATTGGTGTCTCGGGCTAATACAGGATGTGATATGGAAAAGGGTATGTATAATTCTCTATTTATCTTAATTCATGTCGTTGAAATATACATTTATTGTACTTTCAGGAAAATTTTAAACATGTATTGACAATTAAGTACGTGATTTGTAAGAGAACTATAGGTGCGATATAAGAACATTAACAGGAGCTCAGTTTTTATTAATGCTTATGGTTAACTCGTGATCAATTAATATATTATGCAAATATCTGAGCAGGTCAGACAATGCAAGTTAGCTAAATTCGCTTTCTCTAATTTGTACTTGGATTTAAGTGCTCTTCTAAATTCTTTTAAATTATATTTTATTGTAGAGATATTATATAAATATTACCGATCTTTGTACCCATTACCAGTTTGTATTGGTTAAATTATGATAAGGTAATCCAAAAGCCTTGTTTGTCTCCATTTTTCCCTTGCTTACATAAACTTGATTTGCTTTATTATTTATAGCACTTTGAACAGTACTTCAAACAACACCACACTGGGCGTGCAACCAACAATACCCCCGCCAGAAACATCATCTCATGTAGCAGAGATTGTAGGCGGTCTAGCTGCCTTCCTCTTCATACTTGCTGTTATTCTAATATTAGCGGTCCATCGTTGGAGAAGAAAAAATAGTCAGAGAAATGACACACAAGAACTTATCCCAAGTATGTGTGTTTTACAGAATAGTATTCAATATGTGAAAATAGTGGCATATTTGATATTTTTCATACTATATCATTTTTCTAAATTTTATTCCACTTTTTTCTTAATTTTTTTAAAATTGAAGCTAAAGAGTTGTTGCTAGCAAAGGTGGGTGAAACCCTAGGTACTTTATTTTGGGGATTTTATGCTATATTACTTGTTTTTGATTTGAATGTAATAAAGGTTTTTATGTAAAATTGAGTATCATTTTTAGCTAACCTGAGCCGAAGGCTCAAGTGAGCTTTTCTGATCAAAATTTGTCCGTTGTCTCTCGTTGAAGTCGTTGTTGTCGTTGGCATTTAAAAAAAAAAATCTTCCTCTCAAGAACCACTGTGCCAGGAAAGATGAAACTCATGTGGAAGCATCCTCAGGTAGTGTAGATTCTAATTTGTACAAATCATGACCCCCAGGAGTAGGATGGGGCAACAATGGCTGATCAAAGTTTTACATAGGAATTTATACGAAAATCGCCTTCTCAAGTACTTCAAAGCAATGTTTAGTGATGGTATAGGAGGAAAATGTTTGTAAAAAATCTTTTTTATCAATAATAGCAAAGTCATATGCTGTATTAATATGAAGGCATTCTAAAGTAGTATTAAATTCAAGCCCCCCCCCCTTTTTTTAAAATATACTTTTCAGTTCTGATCCGATTTGTGTTTTTTCCTAGCCGATTTGCTCAGGTGAGCGATGTGGCCCCTGGGCCTCCTGTTTTTAGATATGGCCAGAACACCAAAGGAAAACCGTTACATTGTTCCAAGACAAATAGTCTTTTAATGAAGATGATCCAAGAGGTATACTTTCATTAAACTCTCCTCTCTTTCTCTCTGAAAAAAATGGGAATAAGGATAGATAAGACTTATTGAATTAAGATCTCTTTATTCTCACAATTCTAATGGTTCAAAACACAAAAACTGCATTTTCGTGCAATAAATTAAGTTAGATATTGACAGATGCGTCTTTTTCTTTATAAGACACACAAGTCCTGTATGAGTGTAGGAGGACCACTCAAAAGTGTAACTGCCTACAACCCAAATGAAAAAGGATTCAAATATAAATTTAAGTCTTTATTCAGTGGCGTCTCTGCATGGAATGTCACAATATTTAAAATCAAATGAACAATAATCAATTAAATTTACTTTAACAATACACAATCTTTTACTCATTAAAACACTTTTGTAAAACTTCAACAGTATGTAAACAATGACAGAGATGTTTCGAGCTATACGTACTTTGTCGCTGTGAAAAAATAATCAATTAAAATAACAAAGTTATAAATGAACAACTCATTCGTGCGACCTGTTACCTTACATAGAAATGTTAACAATCATAATCGCTTGTCATTTACTTACAAGAAATAGAAAACAACATGTCGAAATGTATTTTGACAATTGCTAAAAATAAATTAAACTTCTTTGACTAAGGAGTTCCAAAAATAAACAAGGGCGCTAAATTCAAACCTGATGTAAAATATTTGACAAGTTTCCGGAGATTTTGAAGTTAATCAAGATAAAGTATTTAAACGACAGTAGATATAAAAATGTAAACAGACGTGTATAAAAATCACAAAGGTTAGACATTTCCTAAGCAAAAATAATTAAACTTTGAACTATATAATCAGACATTAAAATAATTATTTCACCTATCAATCGTTTTATACCAATTATAAAGTATTTAATATTAACCAATCTTAGCTCAAATTTAGAAAATAAGTTTTATAAAAATAAAAGAAATTAAAGATTGAAATCTAATAAAATGTGCTACATACCTACAACCCAAATGAAAAGGATTCAAATATAAATTTAAGTCTTTATTCAGTGACGTCTCCGCATGGAATGACCGAGAGTCGGGCCACTTTCCATACGGAGACCCAATCTGTGGGTTGTAGATATTAGCCAATCAGAATTTAGAATTAAAAACTATATTGTCTGAAAAGTGTGAAAATTAACCATATAAGTAAAAACTTCCAAAAAGGTAGGTAATGCGCAAAAGTGAATGCGCACTCGGTTTCTTTGTCCTTAGCCGAGAACCAATTAAACAAAAAGATAGCCAAGAGGGTAAATTGCTAAATACTTATGTAAACAATTTAGACTGACCGCTAAAGCTCAAAAAGTCCCGAAATAACACCTACAATGTATACCAAAAAGTCAATTTCCCTTCTTTTATGTGAGATTAAATTATTTACCTGTTGACCAGTGTCAATTAGCAAAAAGGTTTTTGACAACAAAAGACTGAACACTGCAATCAAGCAAAACTTAGTACATCTGTTGACATGTAAAAACATTTAACAATTTCTTTTGTACTTGATTAAGCTGACAAGTTTGTCTTCAAAATTCTTGACATTTTTATTCGTTTTATTTTGTTGTAAAATAAATCTATCTTTTGTAAATTATATGAAATAAAATGAAATTTCCAATCATTAACATAAAAAATTCATTTAAAAATTCATTTTTAACAATATACAACATGACCGTAGTCATAATGCATATTTTTATTGATAAATAGAAAGTATGTCAGAAAGACAATATACTAATTCTTGCTAGAAATGCATAAATTGTCATATTATTTGAGGTCAGAACAATTTTATGAACAATATAATAAAGTATATAACAACTGGCTCAAAAGCATAATTATGATGCTGAAAGGTCTAAAATACTTGCTACTTATAACATATTTTTGATTAATGAATATCATCGATTTTTTTTACATGAGAAGTAAAAAATGATAAAAATGCTTGAAACCTGAGAAAGAATTATTACCCTTTTCAAAATTTTTAGAGACTGAAAAAATTGTAAAAAAAAAAAATAATAATAATAAAAATAGATAAATAAAATTAAAAAAAAGAAAAAAAAGGGACACGACACATGAACCTCGTATTCATTTTAAAGATTGTCCGTATATTCTGTATTTTTGATACTTTATCATTCTTTCGAATTTCAGGCGATCGTTTAGTTTGTTTTTTCATCTTCTTTTTTGTTTAAGATGAAGCTAAAGAGATGTTGCAAAAAGAGGGGGATGAAGGTAAATCATTTCTTGAATTTTATGCTGTGATGCCTGTATTGAGCTGAATTGAATAGAATAAAACACTTTTATGTTTTAAGGGATCTCACGTGATTGTTAAGACATAATCAAAAGACTAGAGGAAAATGATAATTATACCAACAATACACAAGAACTGAAGAAATGAAACTAAAAATGAAATATCCAATGTTCCTGAACAAAAAGAAACACATATTCGTAATTTTACCAGTCTCTTTCTCTCTCTCTCTCTCTCTCTCTTAACTCAAAAATCGGGGAATAATATTTGATAAATCTCACTGTATTGACTTTGGATTTTTTTTTATAACAATTGATTTAAGGAATAACTGTCTTATTTTTCGAATTCATGAAGTGATCAATGGATTGGCTTGTGTGATAATTTGCATAAACGCCGAAGGCGTTTATGCATAAAATTATCACACAAGCCAATCCATTTATCATCTTCATGAATTCGAAAAATCTGACAGTTATTCCTTATATTTACATGCTTTGATTCCGCCAATCCACGGGCTCCAAGCCTGCATCTCTCTAGGCGTTGTCCCGCCCTGCACGTGGTTTTTTTTTTTTTGGAACCGCGCCAAAACATTCATGAGGAAATCTATTGCATTTACAATTGGTAATTTTATCTCGGACAAAGACATTGGAAATGTAAATATTACTCTATGTATTTTGAATGAAATCAAGATCATTACATAATTAAGCCGCGTAAATGAGAATTCTCAAAGCAACAAATCTCCTGTGCCATGTTTTCCTACATTAAAGGTATAATTTTGATCAAAAAAAAAAAGTGAAATTTTCTTCTTTTAATAATTGTTAGAATTATAGGTAGTTTTAGATTTAACTCGGGTGATCTATTCCTTACTGTCATTCGCCGTCTTGCATCGTGTGTAGTGCGACGTACGATGTGTCTTAACATTTCAACACTTCGCCGAAAGGTCGCCCGCCTGGCGCAGTGATAAGAGCGTCTTCAGAGTCGCGAATTAAGGAGTTGGTACTTACGTCGCGGGTTCGAATTCGACCGTGGGACATGGAGACCAGTTCTTCGGATAAGACCGTATAAACCGAGGTTCCATGTCGCAGTAAGTGCTAGCAGGAAAACGATCCCTTCCTGCTCAGTGGCCCTGAGTCCTAAGTATAGAACGAACTATAATGGCCCTGAGTTCCGAGTATTGGACATAATCTGCAGCTCTCCACTGACAAATTCTCAAAAGGGACGTTAAATAATGTACAAACAATCAATCTTCCCCGAAATAACCAAACCAATTTCATCCAGTTGGGCATATAATTATTACATCTATTATAGCAACTTTGAATGGAGGGAACAAAAACTGAATTTCATGGTCCCTGTAACCCCCCCCCCCCTTCCCCCACGCCTGTGGGGTGGAGAAAAACCCACTAAATTGAATATAACGTTCTTTTATTCTGAATATCAGGCTGTCAAATTGTTGACATGATTGTAATAAGCGTTTAGTCCTCTACCAAAATTGTGATACAGTTTAAATATCTAACCAATCAGATAAGGCGAAACAGAAAAGCAACTGCAAAACCTCCTCCAAAGCTGTCAATGGAGAAAATCTGTGTATCCGATTAATAATTCGTTCGATTACGGCATATCAAACGCTAATAGCGGGGTTTAGGTAACAGAGACTAGTAAAAGAACATCTCCCAGAGAGAGTGTTTGCAAAATTATGAAAGGTAACTCTGTTATTTCCTTGGAAATCTGTCTCGAAATGGGGAACCCCTGTTGTTTACAACTTTTGTTTCTTACCTTGTGTATTTTTATTATACCGAATAGGGCCATTCTTTAAACGTGAGAAAAAGTACAATCTGCTTGCATATAACGACATATAAATGTGTTTGACGGGGAAATTTTAGATTTT